GCTATGGTCAGTCCGGACAGTGAACGGCCTACCCAGCAGGTACTGTCTGAAGTGGGAAGTGAACGCCACAACCGCCAGAAGCTCTCGCCTGGTCGTACAATAGTTTTGTTCGGTAGCCGACAGCCGCCTGCTCCCATAGGCCAAGACCCGCTCTTCGCCCCCTTGCACTTGGGAGAGAATCGCTCCAATCCCACAATTGCTGGCATCAGTGTCGAGGAAGAAGTCACCCTGGTCCAGTGGGTAACCCAGGACAGGGGCTGCCGTAAGCCGTCTTTTTAATTCCTGGAATGCTCCCTGGCAGTCGGCAGTCCAGTTAAAACGGGCATACTTCTTAGTGAGTTCGTGGAGGGGTTTAGCCACTGTGGCAAAGTCCTCCACGAACCGGCGGTAGTATGAGGCTAAGCCAACAAACTGACGCACTTCTGTGACGGTCCGCGGTGCAGGCCAGTCCGTCACCTGCTGGACTTTCTGGGGGTCCGTGGAAATACCTCCAGCAGAGATGATATGGCCCAGATAGGCCACCTGCTCCCGAAACAGGCAGCATTTAGATGGCTTCAGTTTTAGGTTGGCTCCACGCAATCTGATGAACACTTGCTCGAGCCGCTCCAGCATCTGGGTGCTATCCTGGCCCAGGACAATGATGTCATCTAGGTACACTAGGCATGTCTCCCACTGCAGCCCAGCCAGGACTCTGTCCATAAGCCTTTGGAATGTGGCCGGTGCGTTGCACAGTCCAAACGGCATCACATTCCACTCGAACAATCCCTTACGGGTACAAAATGCAGCTGCTTTTCGGGCTCTGGGGGTCATCTCTACCTGCCAGTACCCTGAAGTCAGGTCTAGTGTACTGAAGTACTTGGCAGTAGAAAGCGTGTCAAGGGTGTCCTGGATGCGTGGCAGGGGATAAGCGTCTTTAAGGGTTCGCTCATTTAGTGGTCTATAGTCCACGCATAGTCTGGGACTCTGGTCCTTCTTCTTCACCATCACAATTGGAGCAGCCCAGCCGCTATTGCTAGGTTGAGCTAGCCCAGCCTCCAAGCTCTGCTGTACTTGCTGGTCGGCCGCTATTTGTTTGTCCCCTGCCATCCTGCGCGGCGGGTGCTTAACTGGTGGCCCTGGCGTGGTCAGGATGTCATGCTGGACAACACCAGTGCGACCAAGGTCATTCGGGCCAGTGGAGAAGACATCACTGTAGGACCTCAGCAGGCCTGCCAGATCGTAGCGGGCAACGTGAGTCAAACCGGGGCTGCTCTCGGCGTAAAGGGCCTGCAAATGGCTTGGTACAGAAGCAGGGGGAGTACCATTAAGTTCGAGGGCTGCCAGGACCCTTGGTGGGCGACCCCCCGACCCCTCCAGGACCTGCACGGGCTGAAGAACCCCTGCCACGGCACCACGCTTTAAGGTGACAGCTGCGGCCCCAGGGTTAAAGACTCTGATTGGGATGCTAGAGGGTTTACTAGGTTGCACAACTGCGTGAGCTACCAGTACTTGGTGCTTCTCCACAAAGCCCTTTGTAGGGCTTAGCATCATGTCTCTATGGGCGGCACAGTGGGAGCTGGAAAACCCGGGGACCACATACTCGCAGCCTGGTTCCAAAACCGTAGTGCGTGCCACCCTAACAACAAGCACCTGGGGTCGAGGGCCCACGCCAGAACATGGTATCTTTTCATTAAACAGGGTTATCTCTTGGCGGCCGTAGTCTAAGCAAGCGCACGATTGTTGCAGGAAAGGGTGCCCCAGAATAACTTCAGTGCCTTCAGCCATGTCGGCCAAAAGAAAGTCTACATTTTCAACACCGCTCCCCACCTGTACAGGCAGGATGACCTCGCCCAGAACGGCCAATCCCTCTGGACCAATGCCTTGTAGAGTCTGAGCAATGGATGCCTGCACCTGAGGTCTTGACTCTGCGGGGATGGTGTTAAAATAGTGGAGGGGCAGCACATTCCGCCGTGCACCAGAATCCAGCAAGGCCCGTATTTCCCGTCCCTGTATTGCTATCTGGACACACATCACATCTTGGCCTCCGTTGTGGAACACTGTGCCTGGGTCAGGGGCTGGGCCTCTAGCAGCTTTTACAGGCTTTTGGGCAGGTGAGCGAGGAGAGGGGCAGTTCCTCTGTAGATGTCCTATGCCGGAGCAGTTATGGCAAACAGCCTCCTTCCTGCTTGACCTGTTAGATGTGCTCCAGCTTTGGCGCCCACACTGGATAGGTCTTTGGGCCCTCTCCGGTGGTTCATAACTTAGCATATGAACACTCTCCCGTAATGCAGCTGTTCGGGTCCCCTGTGCTGTAGAGACTCGTGGCCCTGGCTGCATAAGCTGTGTGACTGCCCTGGCGGCCCTTTTCGTTGTCTCGAACCTGTGGGCGATTTCATAGGCTCTTGCCAGGGTGCGTGGTTGTTCTTCCAACAATTTCTGGACCATTTCAGCATCTGCCAAAGCATTAGTGAAGATCTCTACAGCAATGCAGTCCTGCTCCAGCTCGGAGCGGTTGGCATACACAATGGAAACCTTCTCGTATATATCATCTCTGAGGGTGTGCAGGGCCTCACCTGGTTTCCGGATTCTCTGCCGTAGCTCAATGCCAATGGCTGCTGCATGCTCTGAACACGGCCCATAGGCAGCCTCCACCTCCTCCACAATCCTCTGGTAACTCCAGCGAGCAGATTTGGGGTTTTTGTGGATTATGGCTCCAGCTGCGCCCCTCAGGCTGAATCTCAGTTGGGCAGCCATGGTGTTCTCCGTCCAGCAGTTGGCCTTTGCACAGGTCTCGAACTGATAGAGAAAGTCTTTCCATGACCCTGACCCATCGAAATGGTCTGGTTGTAACGTGGGAATTTTCTCCTTGCCCCTCGTCTGTCCATCAGCACTACAATCTGCAAAACCCCCGTCTTGCACTACACCAGGAAAACAGCCGCGTGGCCCTGGCATGGCTTGTTTTGAACTGTGACCCTGGTCATGCTTGCAAAGCCCACACCCCCCATCTGGTGCTGGTATTGCCATGCGAGTTGTTGGGGAAAAATAGCCCTGAGCTGGCATTTCATAGCTGTACTGCGCAGGTTGGGGTATACCCGGCATAATGTGTAGCTTCGCTGGCTCAGTAAACGGCGTTTTTCTAGGGACACTGCAGGTACAGTTCATGGCGGTGAATGGCTGGCTGCATGGCCGAGATGTAACAATCCGAGGTGGGTGATCATGCGAGCCATGCTGTCCCACTGTGAGCGGTGTAGATGCAGTGTTACCAGGGCCTCCGCAGTCTGAGCACTGCAACTGCTTAAACTCACTGCACACTGCATTCTGCTTCGCTATTGGTGTTAAGAAAGGGTTGGTGTGAGCTGAAGGTGGCGGGGTGAGATGCCATGCAGCCTCAAACTCCGTCGTATAGACTGCTGCTATGCTCGCCGCTGGCGTTAACTCTATGTCCGTGATGAAGGGGTTGCTGCTGTGGATTCTATTGTTTACATAAGTGGCACGGTCCACATTAGCTGTGCCACTCTCTGGGGTTTCTGGCAAAAATGGGTTGCTGCTCTTACTGAAGTACATTCCCATGCCATCCCCTTCAGCATCTCTCGGAGCCGCCATTTTCTCTGTCGTCCGAGGGAAAAGAGAAAAAGAAAGTTCGCTCCCTCTCTCTCGGCGCTTTGCGGAGTTTTATCCCGGACGAGCCCCCAGTGTTACCGCGCCAGATCCGCGGCCCCGAACCGTAGTAAGGAAACCTCTGGCAGTTACTTGACTCGCAGCCGGCAACAGCTTACTATACAGGTCAACTCCGCTAGCAAAAAGATCGAGGGAGGCGTAGGAAACTGCTTTACCGAACCTTTATTTCTCCTCCAAGGCACGAACACCGCGTACAGTGGGCTGAAACAGTTTACTCACAGCGGGCATCGCCGATACAACTTTGGCTGCCGAGGGAGTTATTATATTCCTTTTATAAACATGTGCAAAGTGCAGGCATTTTTTATTTGCACCACTGAAACCCATTTTAATATACTTGAGCAGAATTATTATTTCTTTGACTTATTTTGTGGCGTATCGTAAATATGTAACATTCATGTCATTGTTTAAAAGAATTAATTTGGATTTTTGTAATACATATTAAATGAGAAACATTTGAACATAAGTTTATTTTTGTTTTCCCAAAAAATAGATATTCAGGAACACTGCATATGCCCTCAAATTGCTACGTTTTTAAGTGGTTATAACCTGTTACTGCAATGTACATAAAAATTAAAAATTTTTCAACTATACTCAAAAAGTACCCCATGGCAACATGTTCTTTTTAATATGAAAAGTTATTGTCATTTTTCATCAAAATGTACAACTTTAGAGACCTGTACTGCATTACGATCACAATAATACAAATATACAACTTTAGTGATTTGTGTGCAAATTTGTGCATTGCGTTGAAAATACACAACAAGTTAACCTAAAAGAACTCGGTGGATGTAGTAGAAATTTTAATGGCTTGTTAACCGGACCCCACGCTGCACCCCTTTAAAGTTTGATCAGTTTGATCAGAATTCGTTCAAATCTTTTTGAGCTGTCGTTCTTACAAACAGAATGACATGCACACAAACTATACCAAAAATGTAACAGACAAACACACACACACAAAAAACCCCCAAAAAAAAACCCACTTGGACTTACTTGGAAAACAAGACAAACTGACATCCTTGTGACAGTAATCTAGCAAATAACCTGCGCTTATTCTTGTAAGTGAAGCAACCATATCCTCATACCAGCAGATCATCTGATAAGAAACTTGCAGTTGGAGTTGTGGTTTCAAGACCCATTTGTTGAAATCACTTCAGCTGCCAAGAGGGTGTGATGCTTTGGTACATAATGGAAATATTAATGGGTGAGGGAGAGGGAGGATGATTTTTCATGTCAATTTATCATCCAGACACCTATATTACCCAACAGAGATAAGGCGCATTAGATGGCAACTGTTTTATTTTCTTTGATTGATTCTTTTTTTTGTGTTGTCCCATTTTTTACAGTTATTGATCACCCTGCCAAGTACACTGGGAAAGAGCGAAACACACTTCTCAGCAGCCCAATTCTGGTTACCTTGCCCAGTCAAGGAGTTGGAGAAGGACATGATAATTGGTGGTCTTTCATGATTTGGAAGGTCACCAGAATTACTCAACTGTGCTTACTTTTTCATGCTACTCCTGAATGAATCCAAACTGTTTATCCAACAACAATAGCTAGCAATTTTTGGAGTCAAGGTGATATAATGAGATTCCACTCTAATTTAGATTCCATTTACCTTGGCCCCTTATCTTTAGTTACTGTGATAAACATGAAAATATCCATTTATTAGGCACCCACTGGGATAAAATCATGTCTCACTAATTTGAGTATCATGTGCAGCAACATGTGCATTTATATTTTCACCTGGTTTTATTGTTACACAGGAAGACATGCGTTAAATTTTAGTTGTACTAATGTGGATTAACAATAGCATTCTGCTATTATAGAAAATAGCAGAAGTAGTCTGGCATATTTCTACTGAGTCATAAGGCAAATACTCTAGGAGGAAAATCTTTTTACTGTAAATCAAGAGCACACCTTGCATTGTCTACAAATATTTTTCACTGATGTTATGCTTGTTTTGGCCACACCTCTTGGAAGCATATAAAACTCTACACTTCCAGTCAACATCCTGTGGAACGAGAAAAAGGTAATTAGTATTCGTGGAGAAAGCAGGTAGGAATCAGAGAAGGGTTTCTCAGAAGTTTGTCACTGGGTGTGCCTTAATGCTAAAGAGGACGTGTGAGAATGCAATAAGCGATTAGCGCTAATCTAATCTGTTATCTGGAGATGCCAAGGATGCACAGAATCCTTCGAGGCCTCACATCATGATCAGGAATTGCTAAAATCTTATCTTATGTTAAGTATTGTGTTTTAGTATTTGGTTTTCGTCTTGCTTTGTGAAAAAAGAAACTTGAAAATTCATGGATGACAAAAACAATTACATTTCATTATTAAAAAATATAATTTTGATTACAGAGCTTGAGCATACTGGTAAATAACAATTAGAGATAAGACATTATTTTGGTAATGTTTATTTATGGCAATTGTGACATGAACCTTACACTGGATGGTGGTCTAATAAATTTGTTGAGCTCTGTACGTTATCATAAAGGACTTTTAAACAATTTGTAAATGTAAAGCTAAAAATACACTGTGTGCTTTATTTGAATTAATACAAATTTCCTTATAAATTATGAATCTGAAAGTGAACTTTTGAGATAACTTAGTTTGTTCTTGATGCCAGTGCACACGTTTGAGGATGTGAAGCACAGTGCGTTCCACTCTTTAAATAGAATATGTGTAACACGGAAGCACTAAATTACATTTGGCTCGAGGGTTTCCTGGGCTAGTACTCCTGTCAACAGCTTTTACATAAGAAAAAAGCTATTTTTGATCAACCTGTCCAGGGTGTACTCTGCCTCTTGGCCTATGACAGCTGGGCTAGTCTCTGACCCTGGGTAATTGGAAGAAAATGGATAAATGGATAGACAACACACGAGTATTATATGATTATTTTAACCCATACAAAGGCCCGGGTTAAGCAATACTGTGCTGTGTAGTGACAGTCAAATTCCTGTCTGAACATGTCACATGTCTCTCAGGCACCGTTGGGTTTTTTCTTTTTTCAAGCATTTTGAAATGTCAAAAATGCATTTAGGGGAAATAAAAAGAAAAAAACAAAACAAACCCAGGAAACATTAGGATCAACTTTGATCTACTCAGTATTGTTCCCACTGTTAAGCACTGTTCAAAAAAAATAATAAAATAAAATTTAATCATAATAGATTTCGCAGCACTTTTGTGATGTTAATTAGCAATTTGCACGTAATAAATTAACGTCTAAGTTTACTGCAGTGGGAGTGTCGCTTCTTTCTCAATGTGGTTGTCAAACCTTAAAATTCCACGCTTTCAATCAAAGAGTAGTAATTACATAAATAAAAATTAAAAGAGATACTGAGCTGCCTTCAGGCATGACAAATAAAAACAATGCTCACTAAAGGACAACTGACGTATCTTCTTTTCACTAAAGTGAAAACACGTCTTTTATTCTACTGCAACTATGAAAATGTTAAATAAAAGGAACAAGTAAATGTCACATTTGGATAGTGAAGTTCAGATATAGCATCATGCTTTAAAAACAAGTGAAAAAAGAGGATTAAGAGAAATGATTCACAAAATGAAAGGATAAAATAGTGTTCACTACATGTAAATGTGTAGAGCGTTGCAGTTATAGCTTACACATCTTTCAAAAATAAAACTGTCTCCAGATGGGAAAGGTTTACAAAAAGAATTTATTGTTTCAACAGATTAATTTCACAATATAACTGGTGTAAAACAAAGCCTCTATTAACAAATAGAAAAAATAATCTACTTCATGTGCTTTAAACAAGATTGCACAACAATGAGACTGAAGTGTTAAATGCAATCAACATTTCAGTGCAGAACACAAAAATAGTGCAGATTATCTTTAAATCAAGCAGATTTGAATGGTTACTTGTATTCCTTTTTTGTGTTCAGCTGATACAAATTGATTGGAAATTAACCTGAAGTATATTCAAAATATAGAGCTATAATATGAGCATGAGCCAGCTTTAACATGGTGTTGGTGTGTTTGTGGTATTGTCTTAACTGGTCTCTACAATGAGTTTGAGATGATTTTTTTCAGCTTCATGACTTCTTCAGTGGTGAGCTGAAAGAGAGGAGCAGAGCTGGAATTGACCATGAGCATAGCTGAAGGCTCCGTCTCCGCCTGCTGCTTCCCTCCCTGGACACCTGCGTAGAATTTATAAGAAAAGTCTTGGTGAGTCCTGGGGGGACTAGGGTCGCTCTCCACTTCAATGGATGACTGGGTCTCTCTCTTATGGGCACCCCAGAAATTGGGTGACTTGGAGTTGTATGACTTATTAATATCCTGCTGATCTTCTGACAAGACATCCTGGTTTACTGCATTTTTCAAAATGGCACCTGAAGGCAAAGGCTTGTAACTCATGAATTGGTTTTGGATTTTATTGTTGTGACTGAGGTTTGGCACATTTCTGAATGTTAGATCGTCAGCAGAACTCTGGCGTTGGGGATTTGTGTGAAATGTCAGTTTGGTAGGGAAAGTGTTTGCGTTAGGCCAATTCCTTTCTGCAGGGTGTCCTTCCTGAGTAGGCTGAGGAACCTTACTTTCATGCATCATTGCTGAGGACTTGCACATCTTGAGCAATTTATGAAACACTGACAGGGGTAACTCAATTTCCATTTTGTCATCCTTCTCTTGAGGGAGACTGGACAGTATTTGGCTAAGATTGAGCCCCATCACTTCTGGAATCACTTTTGTCTCTTCTTTTGGCGTGACTGCAAGGTCTGTGTTTGGAGAACAGGGTTTTTGTGCCACTGCAGCAGCCTCTGTTCCCAGTGGCAGAGCAGAGTCATATATGGGTCTGCTTGAGGGTGCCGTAATATCGACATCAATAACTTGTTCCTCCTGTGCTTTCATGGTATAAGGAGAGGGTGCAACTCCATCACTTGACTCCCCATCTTGTGTCTCAGAGCCTTCATTTGTCAGAGCCCCAGTATGATGATGGGCATATAGTGTGGATGGTTTGTTCAAAAACTTTGGGTTCTTGCTGGCTGAAGGTGGAGCAAATGATGAAACAGGGTTGTTGCTGATGTCCCGGCCTGATGATTTAACGCTGAGGTTCAGGGGCTCAGCCAGTCCGGATGAGGTCTTGTACCGCTCAGCCAGGTAACGCAAGTGCTCTAATGGTTCCTTCACCCTCTCTGTTGAGTTTACACAAGGTTGACTGTAAGGGAATTGGGGCTTGGGAGCAGGTGGGTGTTGTGTGGCCAATATTGAGGGGGGCATAGGGATGTAGGGAGGCAGAACTGTGGGGCTTGACTGATAGTAGGGAGGGTAGTGGACAGACAAAGGGAAGAGATTTCCGTGTTGGTCTGTCTGGAGGTTATGAGGGTTCTGCTGGAGAAAAACACAACAGTTCATCAGGTGTTTGAAGAGTAGTTATGGAGCTACATAAGAAAGTAATTCCACTCTCATTCCTGCTTGATAAAAATTACACAGTGTTGCTGTTAGCCTGATAGTTGTTCATTATTTTCTTTATGCCTTCACTTTAACAAGGCTTTGGCACCTGTTACATATTTTCAGTACAATCCATGAGGTTCTTAACTTCCTATGTAACCCATTCTTCAAAAAAACAAAACAAAACCCCCATAAATTTCCTTCAATGTAATGATTTATTTATTGTGTTTTAAAGATAAAATATTTAACTAACAATGAAAGGTTTTCTAAATAGCAACAAGAGTAAATTGTTCAATATGGAATACTTTTTCATTTAATATAATAAATAATATTTCTATAATTTTAATCAATGCAAAGCAATAAATCAATTTTGTTATAATTTTTTGTGTGTGTATGTCAGTAAAAACCAATACCAACCTGACACACTGGTATGGATACCAGCCTGCGTTTCGCTGGTCTCTGGACACCGTCGTCTTCTTCTTTACTGTAGCCGGCAACAAAGTGGAATGGCTTTAGCTGATGATGAGGCATCATGGACCTGATGGAAATGCCTTTCACGTGGCATTCATAGGGCAGCAGCAGCCTACACAAATAAAAAAAAAGGATCAGATAAAGACAATATAACACCCATTCACAGCCAGATGGACGGACAGGCATAATTTGAACTTACTTCTCGTAGTGTCTGCGGGTGCAGGTGGCTGCGCTTGTACTTCGAGGGTTTCCACCAAGTGTATTGTAAACCTGTTTCCACAATTGCTGAGCAGTCACCTAGAGTAATACAAAAGTGTAACTGTGAGTTTTGACATCTTAGCAATATTATTTTTACTGCAAGCTTAATTGAAAATACCTTTAATATAATACTACTATACTATAATACTAACTTACTATTACAATGACAATATTACTATTATTATTATTATTATTATTAATGATAATAATAATAGCCATCATGATCATCAAAATTATTCTCATAATAACGAGATTATTCGATTATTACCTGGTGGTAGCCGCCCAAGTCATTGACAGTTTTGAACATCACAAATAAATCAACTGAAAAAAGGAGAGACATACATGTTAAAATAAAATTGACACAGTTGCAAATTTAGGAATATTAATTTCACTAGAAACCCTTTAAAAAAAAATTACTTTCACAAAACATTTAATAACTGAGAACTAAATATCACAGTTTCTCGGAGCTGAAGCTAATAGCAGTGGTTTGCTTTAGCACTTGTTTTAAAACAGAATGAAGAAACTGTAGCAAGAAGAACATGTTCTTCATGGCATCTTCATAGCATTTAAAGAAAAGGCATTTATGATGGATGAATTTTAAAGAAACTGGATTCGATAATTGTTATAATTCATCTTTGTTCAATGACCTGATGAATAATTTAACAAATATTTATATCTTGATTACTAGCTCAAAATTTAACCCAAAGTTACATCTACAAACATTAGGAAAGAGAAGCAAATTGCAAATCAAGCATAGTTTTACAGATGTTTCCTTTACTCCTTTACTGATTTATTGGTAGGTTCTCTATCAAAACATGTTGTACAGACACATTTCCTTTTTGAAATATTAAAAATATTTCTAATGAGAATATAACATACTTTCTAAAGTGTTTATACATTATTTTTTCTCACATTAAACAACAGTGAATTAACACATTCTTGAGCTGTGAATCCAAATGTGCTGTAATAGATAATATTTACTTTGTTTGAAGCCCAGATGTGGGATCCTTTCTATTGGTGTTTCTCTCTTCTTCATAAAAAGGTAGAGATTTTTGAGAAAGTGTTCCTCTGTGATCTCCTCCACCAGTTCTTTGGTTTGTTCCTCTTTGAATTCATTGTGTGCCATGTTCACTTGTTCCTGGAAATGCAGTTAACAGGAGAAAATATTTTATGCTGTGAACTTTTTATATTTGTGTGTTATTTATGTGAAATATGATAAACACCTCTATGTGAGGTTCCTGAGTGACAATGCCGAATCATCAGGACTAATGATCCCCAAATACATTCCAATTTCTGATTATATATCAGAGGTTAATTATGTTTGCACTTAACTCAGTAAAATAAAACTCGTCCCCTCAGATTTGCTATTTTTGTCCCATTAATATGCGATCTAAAGGGTTGCCAGTGCTCTCCTACTATATCGTCGCATTGCTTGTTTTCTCTGACAAATACACAACGGCTCTACCACAAAGGTGACTAGAGACTGAAAAATACTAAATGATGAATACTTTTTAAAACGATTTTTTAAATGCAGTTATAGGGTGACTATTTGTAGGATTCTATCAGAAATATTGTTACTCACCTGTGTTTCCATTAAGAGAACAAGGATAGGTAAGATTATTTCATTGGCCAAATACACCAGAGAAAAAGCTGTCTGCTACTACTCGATTATAGTGGTTTGTACTCTCTCCAGATGATTTGAAACAAACAAAGATCGCTGCTGCTAGTCTGTTGTCGTGTCAGTCATGAACTTATCTCCAGTGCCTGTGTGACAATGTGAGAAACTAGGAGTGAGGGTGTTTACTCTAACGTCTTTGTGCTGAGATTTCTATCGTCAAACCAGTTCAACTTGCTCTTCAGCATGCGCCCGAAAACCGTGTACTCCTGTCAAATGCCTCACAGATTGGTAGAATAATGAGGAAACCAGTGGAAATTATTGGAAATTATAAAAAGGTCCCTGAACAATAACACACTGCTCAAAAAAATGTAAAGAAATTAAATTAATAATTTAAAGTAAAAAACCAAA